CACCACCCCCAACCTCGCCCCTCCCTCCACCACCCCCAACCTCGCCCCTCCTCCCTCCACCACCCCCAACCTCCCTCCCCCACCCCCAACTCCCCCATCCCTCCACCACCCCAACCTCGCCCCTCCCTCCACCACCCCCCAACCTCCCCCCTCCCTCCACCACCCCCAACCTCCCTCCACCACCCCCAACCTCGCCCCTCCCTCCACCACCCCCAACCTCCCCCCTCCCTCCACCACCCCCAACCTCCCTCCACCACCCCCAACCTCGCCCCTCCCTCCACCACCCCCAACCTCCCCCCTCCCTCCACCACCCCCAACCTCGCCCCTCCCTCCACCACCCCCAACCTCCCTCCCCCACCCCCAACCTCCCCCCTCCCTCCACCACCCCCAACCTCGCCCCTCCCTCCACCACCCCCAACCTCCCCCCTCCCTCCACCACCCCCAACCTCCCTCCACCACCCCCAACCTCCCTCCACCACCCCCAACCTCGCCCCTCCCTCCACCACCCCCAACCTCCCCCCTCCCTCCACCACCCCCAACCTCCCTCCACCACCCCCAACCTCGCCCCTCCCTCCACCACCCCCAACCTCCCCCCTCCCTCCACCACCCCCAACCTCGCCCCTCCCTCCACCACCCCCAACCTCCCTCCCCCACCCCCAACCTCCCCCCTCCCTCCACCACCCCCAACCTCGCCCCTCCCTCCACCACCCCCCAACCTCCCCCCTCCCTCCACCACCCCCAACCTCCCTCCACCACCCCCAACCTCCCTCCACCACCCCCAACCTCGCCCCTCCCTCCACCACCCCCAACCTCGCCCCTCCCTCCACCACCCCCAACCTCCCTCCCCCACCCCCAACCTCGCCCCTCCCTCCACCACCCCCAACCTCCCCCCCTCCCTCCACCACCCCCAACCTCGCCCCTCCCTCCACCACCCCCAACCTCCCTCCCCCACCCCCCAACCTCCCCCCTCCCTCCACCACCCCCAACCTCGCCCCTCCCTCCACCACCCCCAACCTCCCCCCTCCCTCCACCACCCCCAACCTCCCTCCACCACCCCCCAACCTCCCCCCTCCCTCCACCACCCCCAACCTCCCTCCACCACCCCCCAACCTCCCCCCTCCCTCCACCACCCTCCAACCTCCCCCCCCCACCAGCCTTAACCCCCCCCCCCCCATCACTCGATGATCGGCAGGTCCACGCGCGCGTGCGGTGGTAGGGCAAATCGTAGGTAACTCCCACCTCTTCAAAAACTTCTCGTCGGCGTGGAAGAGTAGGCCAAACACTCTCGGCAGAGGCTCGTCTACCAGAGTTCCCTCTGCCGGACGTGGTGTCGCCTTCTGCCGCCAGCGCACGTGGGCAAAGTGACAGCTTCTAGCATCATAAACTCGCCCTTTTTGCCCGTCCCATAGGACGGAAGCTGTAATGTTTACGGTAAAAATTTGGGCAGATTTTAATTGCATCTTGTTTAAATGCAACGGCAGTGATTCTTGCACAAAACTATGCCATAAAACGCCTCACTTCACGTCACTGTAGCACTTTATGTAACTGGCCTTCAGTTTTTGCTCGGATGCATTACTCTGTTTTCCGTCGCCGGGGTTGAAATAAATTGAAAATCGATACACTCTCTGGAAAATCACCGAGAAATGTCTATTTTACCATAATGTAGAAGCATCAATTAGACTTGCCTTTCGTCTCAAGTGCTGAAGAAATAAATAAAGACACCAAATCCACTTTGTTGCTGCGTAGAATTATTTATCAGGTTAACTTTCAATAAAGAAAACGTGAAACTTTAAAGCGAATTTGCGAAAGAAAAAAATATTCCCGCTCAGACCTTCTTCTGCGCGAGTGGAAAAATCCACCGGCTCATGAATATTCATGAGGGGGGGTGCGGCATGTGGAGTGACGTCACGCGCGTTACACACAGACAAAACATTCTTGGCTCATAATAAATGTTATTCTTTGGGTCTTTCGATAAAGTCACGTAGATAGGTAAACTTTTTTTTTATTACAAATGTGTAATCTACGGTAAAGTCACGCGGATAGGTTAAAAAAAATAACAAATTTGTAAAAAATAAAAAATGTGAACCTATCTACGTGACTTTACCGAAAGACACAAATAATTTGAAATCCTGCAGTCACCGAAAGCTTTAAGTGAAGATACAATCAATGTCGTTTTGGGTTAGATCGCCGTCAATATAACAGGTCCCTGCAGGGTGGGCTGGTAGGACAAGTCTCCGCGCTGTCTATTGCTGATTTTACACCCAACAGCACGAGATTTCACTTCGTTAAAGTATTGAAAGGGGACGGACGGACGGACACATTAATCTATTGCAGGCTGGTACACTCAGTTTACAACTTTTTCCTACCAGTATAAATGCGTCGTTAAACCCGCCACCACCCGCGACACAGCCAATTTGTGAGGTCTGTCACGTAAACAGAACGTGACGATTTCGATTTAAAACTTTCGTGACTGCAAGGATTCATCTTCTTTGGTTCTTTCGGTAAAGTCACCACGTAGAATGAGAATAAAATAATACATTGATAAAATAAAATAACGCAATCAAATTCTCACGACGTTTCGGCCACAACAGGTGATGAAGGCCGCTTGTGTTGTGGCCGAAACGTCGTGAGAATTTTTATCGTGTTATTTCATTTTATCAATTTATTATTTCATTCTCATTCTACGTGGTGGTGACTTTACCGAAATAACCAAAGAACAGAACGTGACGCTTAGTTACTCGCGCAGAAACCTCAGGTGGCGTGTTGGGAGGTCAAACCCACTGCAACGTTCACAATTCGAGTACCGGTCACGTTCCGCTGGTGCGATATGCCTGCGTTGTGAAGCAAGTCACTAATTGGCGCGTTTCGTTTTACGTGACAAGCCTCGCTAATTGGCTGTGTCGGATGCTGGTGGGTTCACGATAGAGGCCGACCCGAAATTCGGTTTCCCGCCTTCGGCGCCGAAATTTAGCAAATGACCTCTTTCGATTCTAGATTTAAAGCTTTCGTGACTGCTAGGATCCATACTCTTTGGTTCTATTGGGTAAAGTCACGTAGGTGAAAATAAAATAACAAAAAATCACGACGTTTCGGCCACAACACAAGCGGCCTTCATCACCTGTTGTGGCCGAAACGTCGTGAGAATTTTGTTATTTTATTTTCACCTACGTGACTTTACCCAATAGAACCAAAGAGTATGACCTCTTTCGGTTTAATTTCGGTGTCAGCCGAAAGTCAATTTTTTTTTACTTTGCGGTGTCTGGTTTCGGTTTCGGCCGAAACTGACATTGACTTTCGCTCGTCAACCGAAGATCTACTTTTAGAATATAACGCCAGTGCTAAGTCTATCACTCTGCCTATCGGGCTAGGCAATCCTATGCGATGGGCTGCAAACGCACACGTCAGCAGCAGCAGCAGCTTGGGAGCGAGGTTACAGCGGCAAGGATGGTGTGCTAAGGGGCCGTCCATAAATGACGTCACGCACCTGTGTGGGGTTGGGGGGGGTCAGATATTTGTGACGATGTGTGACGATGGGGGGGGGTGAGTGGGGGTTGAGAAATGTGACGTCACATCAAAATGCTGCAACTTTGAATAAATATAGACAACACCTTCTTTGGTTCTTTCGGTAAAGTCACGTAGAATGAGAATAAAATAATAAATTGATAAAATAAAATAACACAATAATATTCTCACGACGTTTCGGCCACAACACAAGCGGCCTTCATCAGGTGAAGGGGACGAGACTGTCCAGACAGCAGACAGCTGTCCTCCAGACAGCTGTCCTCCAGACAGTCTCGTCCCCTTCACCTGATGAAGGCCGCTTGTGTTGTGGCCGAAACGTCGTGAGAATATTATTGTGTTATTTTATGTTATCAATTTATTATTTTATTCTCATTCTACGTGACTTTACCGAAAGAACCAAAGAAGATGAATCCTTGCAGTCACGAAAGCTTTAAATCGAAATTTATAGACAACACGTTCTACTTAATTAAATCGACTTTTTAAATAAATGTTTTCTCCTATAACAGCAAAGTGCAGCGCGACATTAAATACGCGCTACAATGCCAATAGTTTAAAGCGATTTGAAGCATATCCGAAGTTACCGAACACCAAGATTTATGAAATATATCATGATGCAATGCTACTTTAATTTGAAATAAATCTAGAAATAATCATTCAGAGCCTGCAGTAAGAGTCGCTAAATATCAAATCTGTAGGTGTTACTTACTTAGTAATTACTGTAGATCCAAACAAACGAATGTCGTGGTTAAGAAACAAGTTTTTCCGCATTCAGCCAGATAGGCTGCCGTCTGTTGACCGGTCGTATCTACATTTGGGGCGTCCATAAATGACGTCACGCGATTTTGGACGATTTTTGACCCCCCCCTCCTCCCCTCGTCACACGGCGTCACAAAAAGTCAGACCCCCAAAAAATAAAACATGCTTCAAATCGCTTTAAACTATTGTCACAGTGTAGCGCGTATTTAATGTGGCGCTGCACTCTGACATTGTAGGAGAAAACATTTATTAAAAAGTCTATTTAATTAAGTTAGAACGTGTTGTCTATATTTATTTAAAGTTGCAGCATTTTGATGTGACGTCACATTTCTCACCCCCCCCCCCCCTCGTCACACATCGTCACAAATGTCTGACCCCCCTCCCCCCATAGGTGCGTGACGTCATTTATGGACGGCCCCATTTGTGATAGCCAGGTCGCGTCTGAAAAAGAGCTATATTAGCTCAGTAGGCCTTACCTGGTAAAATAAAAAAATAGTTTAGTTTTAGTTTCAGAGACAAAAAAACTGGCTTCTTCTACATTGTAAGTTTACCGACCCCTGTGTTACACCGTACAGCCTTGCAGGGCTGCGCCTTTGCCAAATTAGAAACACAAGCCCTGTTGTCGCGCGTCTCGAACGGCATCACGCAGAAGCAACTGCTTCCGCGTCACGGGCGAACGCCGAAGAAAAATTCACTTCCGCCCTCTCCCCTACAAGCGGCTTCGCTCATTGGTCGAGGCGGTCAAGTGGAGGGGGGGGCGGTGGCAGCCCCGCGCTGTGATTGGTCGCCCGTGCCCTCCACGTGTTCCGCGGAACCGGCTGATGAAACGCCTCGGATTGACGTGGGCCTTTTAAGCGCTTAGACCACCAGGTAATTCTCATTTCACTTTAACCTTAATTCACCCACGCGTGCGTTAATTACGATTCGATATCGCCGTATGAATGCCGGTCTCTGTGCACGTGTCGAGCCGTACGTAACGTGTTCGTTATGGTGAGGAACGCGATGCTTCAGTTGGCGATTGAGCTGCAATATGGGATCCCATTCATTTTGCTATGGGCCACCACCGAAGATCGTTAATTCCCCCACCCGTTGTCGCCAATAACAACACTAAATTTAGATTTAAAGCTTTTCGTGACTGCAGTGATTCATATTCTTACAATAACAACACTGTTGGGACAAGTGCTGTTAGTGAAGGCCGGCACGTCATATCGGGCACCACCACCACAATCATCAGCAGCAGCAGCCATGGTCAATCCACTGCTAGATGAGAGCCTCCCTATCCAGGCCAGCGCGCGGTAGCTGCTTGGGCACACGAGGATTGTAGGCTTCATGATCGCTCCGTCTCCCATCGCTGGGTGGGCTGCTCGATCCTTTGACTGCCACTCCATGAAAAACCGCAACATTCGCCCGTAGCAGTAACCGTGCGTGTTGGCATTGGGGGGGAAAAAAACATATATATAACGGGCGGACGTTTCGGGCAATGGGCCTTAGCACGAAACATGATTTACGGCGGATTGGGTGGAGGCATTCATCCAAGAGGGGATTGACCATGGCTGATGATGACAAATCAGTGGGACACGTTAAATGCGAGTCCCGTGTATAAACCGCGTTTTTATTATTTGCCCTCATTTGCATCATTGCTGAACAGTACTTTAATCATGTTTGCGTTTGTAATTTTGGTGACAACGCAGGAGGAGGTCACTTCTTGCGAATGAGACTCATCCTGGCCTCTTGAGTTCTCGCCATGATGCAACAAAATCGCCTGGAACTTTTGAAGCCTGTGCTATGACGTTGGGCCATTGCCCGAAACGTCGTCGCGTATCTTTCCGTTCAAAGCATACTGCAGTCCCTCCATCCCTGCTGCTGTTGTTACCCATCCTAGAATCTCACGCATGATCAGGTTGCTTATGAAAAATAAGCTAATAGCTCAGTGGGCTTTACAAATAGTTCAGTTTTGTTTGTGTATTTGTAAGTGATTTGTTTACCTTTCCTATAATTTGCACTCTGTTGTAACGTTCTGACCTGCCCCTACTGGACATCTCTGAAAATTAGCTTCATAGCTCATCCCGATTCCTCCGGGATGAATTAATATTCTGATTGTGAGAACCGGAGGATTAGCTTCATAGCTCATCCCGATTCCTCCGGGATGAATTAATATTCTGATTGTGAGAACCGGAGGATTAGCTTCATAGCTCATTCCGATTCCTCCGGGATGAATTAATATTCTGATTGTGAGAACCGGAGGATTCGCTTCATAGCTCATTCCGATTCCTCCGGGATGAATTAATATTCTGATTGTGAGAACCGGAGGATTAGCTTCATAGCTCATTCTGATTCCTCCGGGATGAATGAATATTCTGATTGTGAGAACCGGAGGATTAGCTTCATAGCTCATCCCGATTCCTCCGGGATGAATGAATATTCTGATTGTGAGAACCGGAGGATTAGCTTCATAGCTCATCCCGATTCCTCCGGGATGAATGAATATTCTGATTGTGAGAACCGGAGGATTAGCTTCATAGCTCATCCCGATTCCTCCGGGATGAATGAATATTCTGATTGTGAGAACCGGAGGAACGCTGCTGCTGCTGCTGTCACCCATCCTAGAATCTCACCCAGAACCAGAGAAAAGCTGCTGCTGCTGTTACTCATCCTAGAATCTCACCAGCCAGATCCGTCAGAAAGCCGATACTGCTGTAGTCACCCATCCTAGAATCTCACCCAGATGCGGAGGAAATCTGCTGCTGCTGTGCGAACAGAGAGTGGAACAATGCGGACGTCCACAATAATGAACTCCTCCTCATTGCGAGACTCAAATATCATCACAGCCACTCCTCCTAGCTTTGATGTTCCCCCTCGAAGACACCGGTGTGACCGTCAAACACAGCAGAACATCAGCAGGCCGATGGCCACATCGCCTTCGTAAGTGGAAAATTAAAGACAAGCCACAGTGATGCGTCTGTGGCCATGCAACCAGAACTATGGACCACACGCTTGTCTGCCCTCCTTCGACAAAGGAGGAGAAACATCAAAACGACAAGAACTGACTCCTGAAGCCCCCCCCCCACCCCCCTCTCGTTGTGGCCAGCAACAGACCTCGACATTGACATCTAACTCCTGAACATATTTCCATACTCAAGAACAGAAAATGTTGGATGAGGTCATTAACCTGCGTGTGTTCCCTGTGTAACCCACGTGTTCCCCGTTCTGTGTCTCAATGTAATTTTATATCGTGCATCTCTCCACGCTTCTGTTTAGTTTGTGTTCCGTATTGATTAACGTTCACTAATAACGGCATTTAATGATAACTAGCAACCTGGTCGTCCCTTGAACGTGGCATCCTGCCAGCCAGGATATATTTTTTTTGTCTAATATCTTACGGCAATCTTATTGGTTCTTTCGGTAAAGTCACGTAGAATGGAAATACAATAATCAAAATAAAACATTTTTTATTTAAAGCTTTCGTGACTGCAGTAATTCATATTCTTAGCTCTTTCGGTAAAGTCACGTTGGAGGGAAACAATAAAATAATAACATATATATAAAACAATAAATTCTCACGACGTTTCGCCCATAATGCAAACGGTCATCATCAGGTGTGAAAAAAAACAACCTGATGATGACCGTTTGCGTTATGGTCAAAACGTCGTGAGAATTTTTTATTGTTTTATACATATTTTATTATTTTATTGTTTCCCTTCAACGTGACTTTACCGAAAGATCTAAGAATAAAAAATAAAACGTAATAAAATAAAATTCTCACGACGTTTCGGCCACGACACAAGTAGCATTCCTCAGGTGAAGAAACAGGACTGTCCGGAAGACAGCGCTTGAGTGAGCACTGCCAAGCATGGACAGCGTCTTTTAAGCTGTGTGGGAGGGAACAGAGCGCCTTGACAAAGGAGTTAACATATAAATTAGCATGTTGCTGGGGGATTAGCATGATGTTGGTGTGAGGGATTAGCACCACGGAGAGCGACGAGCTATGTTCAGACGGACGAGGGGAGGTGGGAGAGGAGTTTACATACAAATTAGCATTACGAAAATTTGCAGCCCGTTTTTCAGTCCACTGCTGGATGGAAGCCTCCCCATGCTTTGTTAGTCATGGGGAATGTTTCACCCGATAATCTTTTGATTGATTCATTGAGCCATACCCCACTCAAAACAACATTTTAATGTTAATAGCGTTCACTGCGTTAGCAGTGGTGCACAAGCGCAAATAACTACGGAAACTGAACACGTTTGTCAATAGCAACACTGTGTGTGGGGCCTTTAGAGGAAACAAATATAATGGCCCTTCTAAATGTAGTCTTCTTCGATGTGCCATGAAGAAGGCCCGTTGCTCGAAACGTTGCCTGTATCTTCTTTGGTTCTTTCGGTAAAGTCACGTAGAATGAGAATAAAATAATAAATTAATAAAATAACACAATAAAATTCTCACGACGTTTCAGCCACAACACAAGTGGCCTTGTATTGTGGCCGAAACGTCGTGAGAATTTTATTGTGTTATTTTATTAATTTATTATTTTATTCTCATTCTACGTGACTTTACCGAAAGAACCAAAGAAGATGAATCCTTGCAGTCACGAAAGCTTTAAATCGTTGCCTGTGCTATGCTTCCTTTAAGGCCACCCGCACGCAGTGCTGTTGACGGATGTGCTGAGCTCTTTGAGAAGGGGGAGGGACCAGAGTGGGGGAGGGGGAAGGTGGGGGGGGGGTGAAATATAAAAGAGGAAGCCCAGTCTGGTTCAGATTTTACTGCACAACTGAAGTTAACCCTGGCCGGGAATCAAACTCACGTCTCCAGGTTCGTAGAGCCTTGTTTTTGGGGTTGTTTTTTTATATGTCTATCTGTATGTGTGTGTGTGATTTACAGGATCTGAATCTTTATTTAGACGGGAGGAGGAATCCGATAAGCCATGAAGCCCTATTTCACAGATGCCCAGTATGGGTGGCTCAGAAAGTTATACCAGCAAACAATACAAAAAAAAATTATCGGAGTGCAAAATAGAGAAAATGGTAAACAAGTCACTAAATTTAAAATATAACTACAGTAAAACCTTGGATTGCGAGGAGCATAATTCGTTCCGGGAACGTGTTTGTAATCCCAAGCACTCGTATATCAAAGCACTCGTATATCAAAGCACTCATATCAGTTGTGATCACGTGACACTCGCGATCCAAGGTTTTACTGTACATTAAATATGTTATTTTGAAACAGCATGTTATCTTTGATTATTATGACACATTGTTGGTGATCCATTCTGGTTGTTGTGTTGATGTTGTGTATTTTCACAGCCCTTCAATCATGGGTGAATCAATGGACGTCGACGAGAAGCTGAAACTCATCAACCGCAACCTGCAGGTAAATCTATGCACGTGTGTGCGTGTTTTTTTTTTTATACACAAGGTGCACCTAGCTTGGCACGAGCCATGCGGTAACATCACCGTCACTTAGTTGTTAGCGGCAGGTGGCTCAGCTGCCCGTTACACTCAAAAATCTAAGTTTGGGAGTTTGACTCGGCCCATTATCTCTCCTGCCGGGGGGGGGGGGTCGATCAAATTGATACCAAATCACATTATTTAACAAGATAAATTGAGTACCAATTTATGGGGAAAGTCAACAGCGGTTGTGCCGTGGATAAACACGGCCCCACCATAGTAATGTGGAATTTCCACAACTGGCTCTGCAGGGCTGTGAGCACCGATAACTCGATGCTAGTGTGATCAGGAATGCAGTCTGTGCAGTTCGTATGGTCAGGTTCTGGCTGTTTAAAATTTGCCACATTTTTTGACGGTACAGTGCTCAACTTCACGATGTGACGCTTATCGCGATTGCAGTTTCGCGTATTTTTTTTTATATCAATGGCAGTACAGGACAACTATGTAAATAGCATCAAGTTGCCACGTGGGCAAATATTTATTTTGTGTTTCGGGAAAACTGGAGGAGGAATTGAACAATTTTGTGCAGAGTTTAATTTTTGGCCATCACATTTCTGTCATCATTGTGCTGTTATTTCGTGAATATATTCTGCTCCTGAATAAAATACAGCACAACCTTGGATTGCGAGCATAATTCGTTCCGGAAACGTGTTTGTAATCCAAAGCAGTCGTGCATCAGTTGTGATCACGTGACGCTCGGCAGTACAAAGCGTCTACACGTGCTACTACTACTCGTATAGCAAGGCCCTCGCCCGTTTATCAAATTAATATTTATTTAAAATGTTTGCTCGTCTTGCAAACCACTCGCAGACCAAGTTACTCGCAAGGTTTTACTGTATTGGTAATCACGATATGACAACATTGTGCACACCGGACGAAGCGTTTATCGCGACCCGTATATCGTACGGTGTGCCGTGGCAATCCCAAGTCGGTACCATAAACACCATGGCCTAGGCTACTGCTAGGTTGACTCGGCCTAAAAAAATATCAATTTGCGTTGCAGCAGCGGTCGCGTGTGCCGACACATTTCAGCAGAAACGCTCGGCGATATCCGATGCATGTCCTGGCCTTCCTCTAGGTTGGCTCAGCCTTAAGTGAATACCTGGGGCGGTGCTGGGAGTGTCCCTGTTGGCGGGGGGTGGGGGGGGCGAGAGGTGGCCGAGTGCAGTGCGGGCCACCACCATCACCACTTAGTGTGCGGGCATGCCGGCTTTAAAACTATTTATACTAAACTCTTTTTATCTTACATTTTAAGGCCCAGTTTAACACGTAGGCTTTCGCGACCAATATTATTCATGAATACAGGTTTTTGGGTTAGATCGCGTTATTTATAAATGTGTCGTAACCCTCCACCACCCGACACGGCCAATCAGCAAAAAAGTGTCACGTTATTATGAATTTCAAGGCCCCCTGAGCTATGTGGCTCTTCTTCAGAAGCGACCTGGCCACAAATAATAGCTCAACAAAGTGGCTTTTCACGTGGAAATTTATTGCAGCCAAATACTATAAACACATGTTTCTCAATGTGGAGGGAAAAACCACAGGACCCAAAGTAAAATCCACGTGACCACGGGGAGAGATAGAGCACGCAAACTCCAAATATACAGCAGGCATAAGGGTTGAGATCGAACCCACAACCTCGTGAATACCATTCGAGATAATCAACATCTCCTAGCCACCGTGGTGCGATATTAACAGGTGCTCGCTAACTGCTCTTAACAGCAGCAGACCGTAGCGTTACAATGAGCACGAGTAATTATGTCGATGTTTGTCTTGTGGTGGTCTGTGTGCGTTCTCAATAGAGGAAGCAACTTGACCTTTATAACTTCAGTTTCGCATCGGTGAGGTCACGCTCTCGCTACGCAAGGACAAAATACCTGCCAGTGTAAACGGAACACCTCCCCCGCCCGCTCCCCTTGCCACGCCCCCTAACCCCTGCAGTGTTGTTGCTACCACCACATGAAATCCCTGCAATGCAGAAGCGAAAAACACTCGACGTCTGAAATACTTTGGCGACTGCCGTTCGGAGTTGGGGGCGTGGCGCGGCTCGTTCGCGCGCTCCAACCAAAGTTTCCGCTGTGGGTATTTGCAAAAAAAAAGATGCAAATAGAGCCGCTTGCTGAAGGGCGCCGGGAAAATGCGAAGGTTTAGGAATAGGTTTTACCCTTTTAACTGGCACAAAAACTGACACCTTTATTCAACTCTGATAATAATATGCACTGTGCATATGCACTGTGCATATTATTATCAGTGTTGTCTTTTTTGTTTGCATTCTGACTGCTTGTGTTGTGTTTTTTGCAAACATGATGCCTTGAATAAAGGTGTCAGTTTTTGTGCCAGTTAAAAGGGTAAAACCTATTCCTATATCTTGTTTCTGGCAAAGGAGGTCTCATAATGCGAAGGTTTTTAACCGACCCCACCCACCACCCATTCGCCTCCAACCCCCACGACCTGGAAAAAAAAACCGATTGAACTGCCCGAGGGGTTTGTGGCACAGTGGGAGAGTTTATTGCCTTTTGCGCTGCCGTGGCAGATCCGTAGGCTGCAGTGGGGTCCGGGAGGGTGGTGGGGCAATCGGGGCACCATAGTGGCGATAGGAGATGTCAACTTACCTCGCCTGGTATACAGGAGTTCATATTCTTGGTTCTTTCCGTAAAGTCACGTAGATAGAAAATACTAATTATAATGAAATTTTAAAAAATGAAAATAATAGAAGCAAAAAACCCACGACATTTCGATCGCAACACAAGCGGTCTTCATCAGACGTTTTCTTTTGCTTTTATTATTTTCATTTATTTTTTTATTTTCTATCTTCGTGACTTTACCGAAAGAACCAAGAATATGAATTCCTGGTGTACAGGAGGTCGTGGGTTCGTTCCCGACCCCTGACGCCTGCTGCTGTATATTTGGAGTTTGCGTGTCTCTCTCTCATCATCATCACGGTGGCTCGGAGATGTTAACTACCTCGCCTGGTATGCATGAGGTCGTGGGTTCGATCCCGACCCCTGACGCCTGCTGCTGCTGTATATTTGGAGTTTGCGTGTCCCTGTCGCCGTGGTGGACGTGTCGATTTTTCTTCGGATTCCTCTGGTTTTTCCCGCATCCTTTTAGGAAGTTTCCAGATCTGCCTCCGGATTAGATTGGTACCGGAAAAAAATGTTGAGATTTTTAGACGACCACGGTAATCGTCACGGTGTGTGTGTGCAGGAGGTGCTGGGCGAGGAGAGGATGATGGAGGTGGTGAGGGAGCGGCCGCTGCGGGTCTACTGGGGCACGGCCACCACGGGGAAGCCCCACGTGGCCTACTTTGTGCCCATGTCCAAGATCGCAGACTTCCTCAAGGCCGGATGTGAGGTACGGCTCCTTCTCGTAACGAACGGGTGAGTGGCTGGCTGAGTGAGTGAGTAAATGGGTGAACGAGTCATTGGGTGAGTGAATTGGTAGGTGGCTGAGTGAGTGAGTGCTTGGTTGGAGTGAATCGGTGAGTGCTGGATCATCAATCACTCTTGGCTGCTACTCAACTCTGAATTCTCTCTGCAGCGAGGTAGCAACTGGGTGTGCTCCACCCCAGATCAGACTTGCGTGCTTTGCATAACACTCACCTGCAGATTAGAAACAACGATAGGGTCAACTTGTAATGCGCATAGCATCCGCTCCTTGCTCTCGTAGAGAGAGGGTGACTCAGAGAGAGAAAGGGAGGGGACGGCTCAGAGAGAGAGAGAGGACGTATCCGAGAGAGAGGGTGACTCAGAGAGAGAGGACGACTCAGAGAGAGAGGACGACTCAGAGAGAGAGAGGGTGACTCAGAGAGAGAGGACGACTCAGAGAGAGAGAGGGTGACTCAGAGAGAGAGGACGACTCAGAGAGAGAGGGTGACTCAGAGAGAGAGGACGACTCAAAGAGAGAGAGAGGGTTACTCAGGAGGAGGAACCACAAACGAGGAGCAGGAATTTCGATTTAAAGCTTTCGTGACTGCAAGGATTCATCTTCTTTGGTTCTTTCGGTAAGGTCACGTAGAATGAGAATAAAATAATTTCAATAACACAATAAAATTCTCGTGACGTTTCGGCCACAACGCAAGCGGCCGTCTTCAGGTGAAAGGTACAGACCTGTCGGGACGACAGAGCTTCAATGTACCTTTCACCTGAAGACGGCCGCTTGCGTTGTGGCCGAAACGTCGTGAGAATTTAATTGTGTTATTTTATTATTTTATTCTCATTCTACGTGACCTTACCGAATGAACCAAAGAAGAGGAGCAGGAAAGCGGCAGCAGCAACAGCCATGCGGTGAGGGATCCGGCACTACCACCAATTGCCCAAGCTCTGCGCCCCTTTATGTATTAACCCCATTCCCTACGTCATCGGTTTCATATACGTTATCGGAACGGAAACGCAACAAAAAACTAAAATAAAATAACTTCATCGTTACCGAGGCTCCCACGAGGCCAATGCGGGAGGGCGTGTGGCACAGTTTGGCGCCACCTATCGTTGAGTGCATTTGTGTCCCTACGGTTCTCTGCGGCGAGTACAGTGTCTTAAAAACAATGGCGCTACGCCTCCTCTGAATAAAATTAACGCGAAGCCAGCTGCACGTCCCGAGGTTCAGCGGTGAATGGGACCCACCCCGAAACTTGCCGTCGGCTCGGAACATGAAAGGGTGAAGGTGCTATCAGCGAGGGGGCAACACTCTATCCCCTTCATGCAGGTGGAACAGGTGCGGTCCGCATTTTTAGCGGTACCGCATTCTCCTGGTAGAGCCAGAGCTCGGCTCCTCGACTCCCAACAACCCTCGCTGCTGCCTCCGTAGTGCTGAATTATTCCGGGCAGCCAAGAGCAGCGTAGTAGCCACCACCACCACCACCGCCACTGGCTTCTGCGGCTGAACTAGAACCGTGGGATTCACTCAATCCTGGGTATCAAACCCAGGATAATAATAATAATGCTTTCATTTCATGTCGCGTCATTCCTGCAAACAGCATCCCACAATGCCGTGCTTTATTTGTATACAAGGACTAATTCCCATATACAGGGTTGGCTACGCACAGCGCAAAAGAAGCTCAACACACACACACACACACGCACTAAGCAAATGCAAACCCCTACTACTACCAAGCAAAATTAAAACAAAAAAAATCAATAAACAAATTAAGTAATGGAACCTAAACGAAAAGTGTACAAGCAACAAAAAGTTTTCAATCAAGACAAAAAGTTATCGCAACAGAGGACGCGAATTGCTCTCGAGCGAACCGCGCGGCGTCGACCTCATCGCCTGCTCTGCCGCCGCCGCCGCCGCTGCTGCCGTTGGTCGCCGCTGGCGTGCAGGTGACGGTGCTGTTTGCGGACCTGCACGCGTATCTGGACAACATGAAGGCCCCGTGGGAGCTGCTTGAGCTGCGCACGCACTACTACGAGAGCGTCATCAAGGCCATGCTGCGCGGCATCGGAGTGCCCCTCGAGAGACTCGCCTTCGTGCGGGGCACGGACTTCCAGCTCAGCCGGTCAGTGACCTCAACGAAAACTAAACCTGCATTCCAAGCTCTTTCGGTGAAGTCACGTCGTTGAAGGGAAACAATAAAAATGATCAAATATATATATATATAAGACAATAAAAATTCTCACGACGTTTCGAGCATAGCACAAACGGTCGTCGTCAGGTGTGAGAGACGTCGTGAGAATTTTTATTGTGTTATATATATTTTTTATTATTTTATTGTTTACCTTCAACGTGACTTTTACCGAAAGAGCTGAGAATATGAATTACTGCAGTCACGAAAGCTTTAAATCAAAATTTAAAACTAAACTGGTTTTTATCCTCCCAGGTTGGGTGAGGCCCACCGAGCTGTATATATATATTTATTTACTGCTCCTTTTTCAGACGCGACTTGGCCCACAAGTGGCTCATCGCGTGGAAATTTACAGCAGCAAAATAATTTAAAGAATTAACTAAATGGATGATAGAGGGTTTTTTTTTTTTGGGGGGGGGGGGGTTAGATCGTGTAAATATATAAATGTTGTGTCGTTAAAACCCGCCACCACCCGACACAGCCAACTAGTAAGGGTTGTCACGTGAACAGAACGTGCCAATTCGTCACTAGTACAGCACACCGGTTGTGTGTTGGAGAGCCAAGCCAGATTGTAAATGTTGTGGCTTGATTTCTCTCCAACACACAGATTGTAAATGTTGTGGCTTGGCTCTCCAACACACAGATTGTAAATGTTGTGGCTTGGCTCTCTCCAACACACAGATTGTAAATGTTGTGGCGTGAATCTCTCCAACACACAGATTGTAAATGTTGTGGCTTGGCTCTCCAACACACAGATTGTAAATGTTGTGGCTTGAATCTCTCCAACACACAGATTGTAAATGTTGTGGCTTGGCTCTCCAACACACAGATTGTAAATGTTGTGGCTTGAATCTCTCCAACACACAGATTGTAAATGTTGTGGCTTGGCTCTCTCCAACACACAGATTGTAAATGTTGTGGCTTGAATCTCTCCAACACACAGATTGTAAATGTTGTGGCGTGAATCTCTCCAACACACAGATTGTAAATGTTGTGGCTTGGCTTTCCAACACACAGATTGTAAATGTTGTGGCTTGGCTCTCCAACACACAGATTGTAAATGTTGTGGCTTGGCTCTCTCCAACACACAGATTGTAAATGTTGTGGCTTAAATCTCTCCAACACACAGATTGTAAATGTTGTGGCTTGGCTCTCCAACACACAAATTGTAAATGTTGTGGCTTGGCTCTCCAACACACAGATTGTAAATGTTGTGGCTTGGCTCTCTCCAACACACAAATTGTAAATGTTGTGGCTTGGCTCTCTCCAACACACAGATTGTAAATGTTGTGGCTTGAATCTCTCCAACACACAGATTGTAAATGTTGTGTCTTGAATCTCCCCAACACACAGATTGTAAATGTTGTGGCTTGAATCTCTCCAACACACAGATTGTAAATGTTGTGGCTTGAATCTCTCCAACACGCAGATTGTAAATGTTGTGTCTTGAATCTCCCCAACACACAGATTGTAAATGTTGTGGCTTGAATCTCTCCAACACACAGATTGTAAATGTTGTGGCTTGAATCTCTCCAACACACAGATTGTAAATATTGTAGCTTGAATCTCTCCAACACAGAGATTGTAAATATTGTAGCTTGAATCTCTCCAACACACAGATTGTAAATGTTGTGGCTTAAATCTCTCCAACACACAGATTGTAAATGTTGTGTTCTTGGCTCTCCAACACACAGATTGTAAATGTTGTGGCTTAAATCTCTCCAACACACAGATTGTAAATGTTGTGGCTTGATTCTCTCCAACACAACCGGTGTGCTGTACTAGTGACGAATTGGCACGTTCTGTTTATGTGACAATCTTTACTAGTTGGCTGTGTCGGGTGGTGTCGAGTTTTAACGACACATTTACATATTTACGCGATCTAACTGAAAAAAAAACAACCTCTTATGGATAATATTGGTCGCGAAAGCCATCTAAAAGTGTTTTTCTAAATGTGGAGGGGAAAGAAAAAAAACGAAGGACTCAGATAAAAATTCCATGCTACCACGGGGAGAGAGAGACACACAGACTCCAATATTCAGGCGTGAGGGTCGGGATAGAACCCCACGACCTACATACCAGGAACCAAGTATCTCACAAAGATAATCCGAGTCTCATTTCACTCATCCAGCATCGCACTCAACAAGTCATTCACTCACCCACTCACTCAACCACTCACTATTGCAAACGAGAGACTCTCAGGGGCTCTTGAGTTCTCACCTAGCAAAAACAAACTTAGAAGTCACTCATCGTCGTACTCAATCATTTACCCACTCACCCACCACCTCACCCAAAATCTCACCCACATCTCACCCTCCATCTCACTCACCCACTCGTCCACTGATCCACCCACTCACCCACTCACTCATTCATCCACCCGCTCACACATTCACTCATTCATCCACCCGCTCGCACATTCACTCATTCATCCACCCGCTCGCACATTCACTCATTCATCCACCTGCTCACACACTCACTCATTCATCCACCCGCTCGCACATTCACTCATTCATCCACCCGCTCGCACATTCACTCATTCTAACCCTTGACTTCGCAGCTTCTCAGCTGGCTAAATAAGTTCACCTTGTCGGAGTTCCTAACAGTCTTGTCGCTTGTTCGTGCGTGCGTGGGTGGGTGCGTGCGTGCGTGCGTGCGTGCGTGCGCGCTCACAGGGAGTACACACTGGACGTGTACCGCCTCTCCTCCGTGGTGACGGAGCACGATGCCAAGAAGGCCGGTGCCGAAGTGGTGAAGCAGGTGGAGCACGCACTCCTCAGCGGCCTTCTGTACCCCGGCCTGCAGGTGAGTGGAGCGCTAAGAGAACCGTACTCCCCCCTCCTCCCCATCGCCATCTGATACACAAACCGAGTCTCATCCCGATACAGATAGTCTAATTTGTGAGACGTTAACCACCTCGCCCGGTATGCAGACGGTAGTGGGTTTGATGCCTACCTTGGAGTTTGCGGCGTCTCTTTCTCTCCCTGTGGTCGTGTGGAGTTGTCTCCGCGTCCCCGTGGTTGTCCCCGTCGCGTTGAGAATCAACATCGCCACGCGTTCAGGGTATTTGCCTGCCATACATTTCGACGTGACGAAAAGCCACTTCGTTGAGCCATCGTTTGTGGTCAGGTCGCTCCTGCAAAAAAGATCTACATAGCTCAGTGGGCCTTACCTAGTAAAGTAAAAAAAAATTAGTTTAGTTTAGTTTTAGAAAGCCGATTCTCATCCCGACAGGGGACCAGATGTTTGTTGTGCTG